TCCTCCACCTGTAACCCCTACCATTGCTGTAGGCGCAAGGAAGCTCCAGAAAGTAGAGCTTCTGGACACTAGAGGGTGCTGCCTACACAAAGTTATTATTCCAAAGGAAGCAGCAAAAATATATGGTCAAAATAAAATTACAAGAAAAAATGCCAGAAAGAGAGCTTAGTGAAATGGAAATCACTAATTTCTTGATAAAGATTCAAAGTAAACATCAAAAACATGCTCATGGAACTACAAAAAAATATCCAAGATCTCAGGGAGGGCTTCAACGAAGAGATAGAAACTAAAAAATACAGTATCTGAAATGAAACATACAATGAAGGGACTTAAAAGTAGATTAGACAAGGTAGAGAAGATGGTAAATGAAATAGAAATGAGAGAACAGGAAAACAAGCTGAAGCACAGAGAGAAAAAAGGATCTCTAGGAATGAAAGAATAATAAGAGAGTGGTGTGACCAATCCAGACAAAACAATATTCAGAAAAGGAAAAAAGTAGAAAAGGGAAAGAAAGTCTCTTTGAGGAAATAATTGCTGAAAACCTCCCCAATCTGGGGAAGAAAATAGTCTCTCAGGTCACAGAAGTACAGAGACCTCCAAAACACAAGGAACCTGAGAAAGACAACACCAAGACATAATAATTAAAATGGCAGAGATCAAGGACAAAGAGAGAGTACTGAACGCAGCCAGAGAGAAAAAGGATCACTTACAAAGGAAATCCCATCAGACTACTAGCAGGCTTCTCAGCAGAAATCTTGCAGGCCAGAGGGAAGTAGCATGATATATTTAATATAATGAAACAGAAGGGTTCCAACCAAAAATATTCTACTTGACAAGATTATCATTTAAATTTAAAGCAGGGATTAAACAATTTCCAGATCAGCAAAAGTTGAGGGAATTCACCATAACCAAACCATCTCTACAAGATATTTTAAAGGGACTGCTCTAAATGGAAAGGCTTCTAAGGCTAAATAGCTGTCACCAGAGAAAATAAACCCACAGCAAAAAATTAATTACTAAGTAAATACAAAATTAAATCATAAAAGTTCATCAAGGGATACACAAAGATTACAGAATATGACACCTAATATATAAAGACTGGAGGAGGAAGAAGAAGGAGGAGGAAAAAAAGAATCTTTAGATTTTGTTTGAAATAAAGTAATAAGCAATTTAAGATAAACTCTTAAGATAGTAGGAAGCTACCCTTGAACTTTTGGTAACCACACATCTAAAGCCTACAATGACAATAAGTACATATCTATGGATCATTACCTTAAATGTAAATGTACTGAATGCACCAATCAAAAGACATAGAGTGGCACAATGGATAAAAAACAAGACCCATATGTATGCTGCCAACAAGAGACTCACTTCAAACCCAGAGACATATACAGACTAAAAGTGAATGGATGGAAAAAGATATTCCATGCAAATAAAAGGGAGAAAAAAGCAAAAGTAGCAGTACTTACATTAGACAAAATAGATTTCCAAACAAAGAAAGTAACAAGAGACAAAGAAAGACATTACATAATGAAAAAGGGTCAGTTCCCACAAAAGGATATAACCACTATATATATCTATGCACCCAATATAGGTGCACATAAATATGTGAAACAAATACTAACAGAATTAAAGGGGACATGGATGTGAAGCATTCATCTTAGGAGACTTCAACACACCACTCACACCAAAAGATAGATCAACCAGACAAAAAGTAAGTAAGGGGACAGAGTCACTGAGCACACATTAGAACAGATGGACATAAAAGACATCTACAGAACACACCATTCAAAAGCAGCAGGATTCACATTCTTCTCAAGTGCACATGGAATGTGCACATGGAATGTTTTTGAGGATAGATCACATACTATGTCACAAAAAGAGCCCAATAAATTTAAAAAGACTGAAATTGTGCCAACCAACTTCTCAGACCACAAAGGTATGAAACTAGAAATAAATTATGCAAAGAAAACCAAAAAGCCCACAAACACATGCAGGCTTAACAACATGCTCCTAAATAATGAATGGATCAATGACCAAAGTAAAACAGAGATCAAGCAATATATGGAGACAAATGAAAACAACAACTCAACCAACAGACCAAAACCTGTGGGATACAGTGAAAGCAGTTCTAAGAGGAAAGTATGTATCAATACAGGCCTACCTCGAGAAAGAACAATCCCAAATGAGCAGTTTAAACTGACAATTAATGAAACTAGAAAAAGAACACGAGGCCCAAAGTCTGTAGACAGAGGAACATAATGTAAGATTAGAGCAAAATAAATAAATTTGAGAAGAATAAAACAATAGAAAGAATCAAGAAAACCAAGAACTGGTTCTTTGAAAAAATAAACAAAATTGATAAACCCCTAGCCAGGCTTATCAAGAAAAAAAGAGAGTATACACACATAAACAGAACCAGAAATGAGAAAGGAAAAATCACAACAGACACACAGAAATCACAGAATTATTAGAGAATACTAAGAAAAAATATATGCCAATAAATTGTACTAAAAGAAATGAACAACTTTCTAGAAAAATACAACCTTCTAAGATGACCCAGAAAGAAATAGAAAATTGGAACAGACCAATTACCAGCAATAAAATTGAATTGGTAATCAAAAAAATTACCTAAGAACAAAACCTCAGTCCCAATGAATTCACGGCTGAATTTTATCAAACATTTTAAGAAGAGCTAATGTGCATCCTCCTTAAGTTTTCCAAAAAGTTAGAAGAGGGAACACATCCAAACTCATTCTATGAGGGCAGCATCACTCTAATACCAAAACCAGACAAAGACACTGCAAAGAAAGAAAATTACAGACCAATATCCCTGATGAACATAGATGCAAAAATCCTCAACAAAATGTTAGCAAACTGAATTAAAAAATATATCAAAAAGATCATCCATCATGACCAAGTGGTACTTTTATCCAACATAGTACTGGAAGTCCTAGCCACAGCAATGAGAAAACAAAGATTTTTAAGGAAGAGGTTAAACTGTCCCTGTTGCAGATGACATGATATTGGACATACAAAACCCTAAAGAATCCACCCCAAAACTACTAGAACTAATAACTGAATTCAGCAAAGTTGCAGGATACAAAAGTAATACACAGAAATATGTAGCATTCCTATACACTAACTATGAATGTGCGTAAAGAGAAATCAGGAAAACAATTCCATTTACAATTGCATCAAAAAGGAAAAAAAACCCTAGAAATAAATCTAACCAAGGAAGTGAAAGACCTATACTCTGAAAACTACAAGACACTCATTGAAGAAATTAAAGAAGACACCAATAAGTGGAAATCTATCCCATGCTCATTTATGGAAGAATTAATATTGTCAAATGGCCTAAAGCAATATACAGATTTAATGCAATCCCTATCAAAATTCCAACAGCATTCAACAAACTACAACAAATAGTTCTAAAATTCATACTGAAGCACAAAAGACCCTGAATAGCCAAAGCAATCCTGAGAAGAACAAAGCTGGAGGGATTATGCTCCCAAACTTCAAGCTCTAAAGTCACAGTAATCAAAATAATTTGGTACTGGCACAAGAACAGACTGATAGATCAATGCAACAGAGCAGAGAGCCCAGATATGAACCCACACGTATATGGCTAATTAATATATGATAAAGGAGCCATGGATATACAATGGGGAAACGACAGCTTCTTCAACAAATCGTGTTGGCAAAACTGGACAGCTACAGGTAAGAGAATGAAACTGGATTATTGTCAAACTCCATACACAAAAGTAACATGAAATGGATCAAAGACCTGAATGTAAATTATGAAACCATTAAACTCATAGAAGAAAACATAGGGAAAAATCTCTTGAACAAAAACATAAGCAACTTTTTCCTGAATACATCTCCTTAGGCAAGGGAAACAAAAGCAAAAATCAACAAATGGACTACATCAAACTAAAAAGCTTCTGTACAGCAAAGGACACCATCAGCAGAATAAAAAGGCATCCTATAATATGGGAGAATATGTTTGTATATGACATATCCAATAAGGGGTTAACATCCAAAATATATAAAGAACTCATTCACCTCAACATCCAAAAAATAAATAACCAGATTAAAAAATGGGCAGAGGATCTGAACACACACTTCTCCAAAGAAAAAATTCAAATGGCCAACAGGCACATGAAAAGATGCTCCACATCGCTAGCCAACAGAGAAATGCAAATTAAAACCACAATGAGATATCACCTCACATCACTTAGGATGCCCAACATCGAACAGACAAGAAATAAATGCTAGTGAGGATGTGGAGAAAGGGGAACCCTGCTACACTGTTGGTGGGAATGTAAATTAGTTCAACCATTGTGGAAAGCAGTATGGAGGTTCCTCATAAACCTAAAAATAGAAATGCCATTTGACCCAGTAATGACATTCCTAGGAATTAACCCAAAGAAAACAAGAACCCTGATTAAAAAAGACTTATGCACCCCTATGTTATTGCAGCACTATTTACAACAGTCCATATATGGAGGCTACCTAAGTGTGTACCAATAGATGAATGGATGGAGCTAGAGGACATTATGCTCAGTGAAATAAGCCTCGTGGAGAAAGACAGGTACCAAATAATTTCCCTTGTCTGTGGAGTATAACAACGAAGCAAAACTGAAGGAACAAAACAGCAGCAGACTTGCAGACACCAAGAAGGGACTAGCAGTTACCAAAGGGAAGGATTTGGGGAAGGTGGGTATGGAGGGAGGGAGAAGGGGATTAAGGGGCACTATAACTAGCAATTACAATACAGGCAGGTCACGGGGAAGGCAGTACAGCATGGACAAGACAAGTAATGACTCTATAGCATTTTACTACGCTGATAGAGACTGAAATGGTCAGGGCAGGGAGGGTGCTGTGAGGAGTTGATAGTATGGGTGAATGCTGAAACCACAATGTTTTCATGTGAAACCTTCATAAGACTGTATATCAATGATACTTGAATAAATAATAATGATAATAAAAGAAGGTTTATGGCCTGGCGGGTGTTTCTAGCTACCCTTACAGCCACTGCTGCTGTGTTACCCGTGCCGGCCGGGCCAAGAATCATGATGTCCGCCTTGGAGAACTACATCAACTGAACTGTTGCTGTTATATTACTTCTGATGGGAGAATGATTGTGGGAACATTGGAAGGTTTTGACCAGACCATTAATTTGATTTTAGATGAAAGCCACGAACGAGTGTTCAGCTCTTCACAGAGAGTAGAACAAGTGGTACTGGGGTTATACACCGTAAGAGGTGACAGTGTTGCAATCATTAGAGAAATTGATGAGGAGACAAATTCTGCACTTGATTTGGGGAATATTCGAGCAGAACCTCTAAACTCTGTAGCACACTGAGGAAAAAGTACATACATTGGATGGACATCTGTAAATCTTTGTACAGAAACTGACTATTCTGAGGATGATGTAGGGAAATTTTATGAGAGTGTAATTGTGGATTTTGACTTCATATTGATTCATTGTAATATGAGATGTAAATTAAAATATTTCTACATTTTCAAAAAAAAAAAAAGAAGGCTTATGGCCATCAGGTCATACATGTAGACTTACCCCTGGTCCAACGCACAGTGGTCCCAGTAGATCTGGGGACCCACTCTGAAGTTATTTTCCCTGTTTCTGAATATATAAATTGGAACAGACATTCTTGGCAACCAGAAAAATACTCGTTTGTTCTCTGGCCCATAGATTAAGGTTGGAAGGGTAATGTTGAGGCCCCTGGAACTTCTACCAAATGTGCCACCAGAGCCCTGGGAGGATGGCAGAGATCAGTGCCACTACAAAAGACTTGAAAGATGTAGGGGTGGTGATGCCTTTCATAGCTTCCCGCAACTCACTTCGTTTTTAAATCTGCTGCTCCAGGGCAATCCTACTTCTGTAACTGAGGAGGTGTGAAAAAGATTCCTCTATGAGCTCTGCCAGAGAAAGTCAAGAGGCCTTCAGCTATTATCAGGAAAAAGCAGCAGCAGGCACTCCATGATGGATTCCCAGGAGTTAGCTAGCAGTCAGTCAGTCAAGCACTTGAACATCCATTCTGTACCAGGCACTGGGCTAGGAATATGTCAGGGAGATGATGGAGAATGAGGGCACTCCAGGGCTCAAAGAGCTCACATTTTTCACATGTACAAAGGCAGTAAGACTAGTAGTGCAATTTGGTGTGTAAGAGCTCTGATAAAGACATGCACACAGGGGACTTTGGAAGCTTAGAATAGGCATCTAAATCTGACCAAGACAGAGAATGTGTGAGGGGTGAGGTGTGGGGGAGGAAAGAGGAGGCTGGTGGCATAGGGTCACTCTAGCACAATTTAGCATTCTTCAAGTGCTGCAACCTTTCTGTGTTTTTTTGCCATGAACTGCTTTCTCCTAACAGCAGCTCTAGAAAAACAGCCATACTTTATTAAGCATAGGGTAATATCAGCTTGGGACCCATATCAATATACATTCTAGTACCTCCAGCATGGCTTGTAGGAGCTTATGTGGATCCACAGTAACCCCAAGGAACAAAAGAACAACCAATCTTACACAGCAGATGATATGAGAACTGAATTCCACTATGAGCTACTTATCTCCCATTTTTCCCTCCCCTAGTGTTCTCAGGCAGTTGGGTTGTATCAAAACACTGCCATACAATTGGACATGCTGGCAAGAAATGCCCAATTACCTGCCAATGACCAATTCCTGGATGATAAAAGTCTCTGCTCGGGCTCCTCCATGTCTCATAAGGCAATATTTCTACCTCATTCTATTAATGCATTTCATCTGTGGCACTAGTGCTTTCAAGTATTGATAGCTATTGAGTTATGTATTCTCTCACTTTATCAACTACTGCATTTATTTCTATTTCAAAAAGTGCAATTTTTTCTGACACTATTTATGTGAACTCATATCATTTATATGCATGGCTCTGTTCTTACTTTTATATTTATAATATTGCTCCTAAGTAAGCATATGTTCCAAGAAAAATAGAGTGATACTCATTTTTAGTAAAGGAAGACAAATTGTTTACAAGGCAAAAAAGCACCTGCCTAGAAATAAAGAGACTGATTCTGTAGCCTGAGGAGATGAAAAATTACTACTGTCACTTTTCCTAGACAGATCACTTGTCATCAAGTATTACAGGTTGTGTGCATGTTCCAAGAGAAAGCAAGACACCACTTAACACATAACTAGGTATATAAACTAAATGATTACTTACACGTTACAAGTATTCATAAATCACAGTTATGAAATGTAGTTAGATATAACTGAACCCACAATTTTTACAAGGCATTTTAAATAAGAGAGAATATGAAAGGGAAAGTGACCTCAGTATATGAGGAAGGGAAAAAGTTAAACTCTACTTGTAAGGTCTTATTTGCTTAAATATATTTGCTAACATAGCACAATGTTAAGGCCCAATAGAATTAGATGGTTAAGATACATGAATGATTATATGATAGTCAGTATTTTTCTCTCTTGAAATGTTTCACCCATTAAAAAAAACAACCTAGGTATTAATAGTTTCTAGATGATAAATCAACAGTTTAGTAATTTTGGAATTTGGGACAGAGTCACCATAAAACTAAGCAAAATCAGACACATATATGGAGTGAAATTAACCACTTAGAACAATTATTTTTTTTATTGAAGTATCATTGATATACAATCTTAAACTGGTTTCAATTATACAACATAGTGGTTTAACAGCTACCCACATTATTAAATTCCCACCCCCACTAGTGCTAGAACCAATATTTTTTACATATGCAACAAATGTGGAAAGATATTTAATGAATAAATCCCCTAAATTCTAGTGCTTACATATTTTTACCCCATGGGTTAACTAAATTTCATTAAAACAATACAGATTGCTAAAGAAATCAGAAGTTAATGCATGTAGAGGGCAGTTTCTCATTAAAACCAGCAGGGGGCATCGATAAAGAGTACCTTCCCTTGCTATGTGGGCATTTCTTAGTGAGGAAAGATGTGACTACATACATGCTCTGCTGGATCACTTCTACCTTTTGCTTTCACATGCCTCCAGCCCCCTGTAAAACCTTCACTCCCTAAGTGACTTCACCATCACCATCATGCCATTTCATGTTTTCTCAGTCTATCATTCATTTCCTAGTATTTGTTGAGGTCCTAGATGTAAAAGACCTTTTACAAGGGGCTATGGTAGAACTCAAAGATAAGAGATACAGGAATCTTATCTCCTCCTGGTCTCCTTCAAAGGGTCATGCACACCAGTAAGCATTAACATATATATAGTGGACCTGTTGAGAGATATTGAAAACATATATCTTTCAGTTAATAGAGGTTAGAAAGGACTGCATGAATCGAAAAGACTAAGAACAACAAATGCTGGCGAGGATGTGAAGAAAGGGGAACCCTCCTACCTCCTACACTGCTGGTGGGAATATATGGTTCCTCAAAAAGCTAAAAATAGAAATACCATTTGACCAGGGAATCCCACTCCTTGGAATTTACCCAAAGAATACAACTTCTCAGACTCAAAAAGATATATGCACCCCTGTGTTTATCGCAGCACTATTTACAATAGCCAAGATATGGAAGCAACCTAAGTGTCCATCAGTAGATGATGAATGGATAAAGACGTGGTACAAACACACAATGGAACACTATTCAGCCGTAAGAACAACATTTGCAACAACATGGATGGAGCTGGAGGATATTATGCTCAGTGAAATAGGCCAGGCATAGAAAGAGAAGTGCCAAATGATTTCACTCATTTGTGGAGTATAACAACAAAGTAAAACTGAAGGAACCAAACACCAGCAGACTCACAGACTCCAAGAAGGGACTAGTGGTTACCAAAGGGGAGGGGTGTGGGCAGGTGGGGAGGGAGGGAGAAGGGGATGGATGGGTATTATGCTTAGTACACATGGTGTGGGAGGTCATGGGAAAACAGTTTAGCACAGAGAAGGCAAACAGTGACTCTGTGGCATCTTACTACACTAATGGACAGTGACTGTATTGGGGTATGGGTGGGGACTTGATAATATGGGTAAATGTAATAACCATATTATTTTTTCATGTGAAACCTTCAAAGAGTGTATATCAATAATACCTTAATAAAAAATTTTTTAAAAAAGAAAAAGAAAAAAGAAAGGACTGCATGAAAGAAAAGAGTTTTGATGAATAGGTAGGATTTGAATGTTTCAGTTCCCAAAATCTCTTTTCTACTCATCTACCTCATAGGAAATTAAAAGTAATGCCTCATCAAGAAAAGGCTAGAAGTGGCTAATAAATGATACCAGTATGAGGCAATGAGTACAGTCTTAGGGAAAAGCATACACATACAATGATACATTTCCCATTTCAAAACAGGATTCTTCCTACTAAGACCTTGAGAGGCTGAAGTAATGGACCAAATCAAACACAATGAAATATAAGGTGCAACTGCAAGGACTTGAAACAGAGATGTGGGGACATATCTAAAAAATGGCATTTGTTAAAGTGTTCAGGGTACTAGTCAAGGATAAACTCAACAAAGACCAATAATATAATGTGGCCAAAGTCCTAATGTATTTTTAATGATATGTTTAATTTTTATTTACATGGCTCAAAATTCAGGCTACTGTAAAGGAGTGTAAGCTCAGAATTGTTACTCCAACTTCTGTGCCCATCCCCCATGCCCTGCTTTAGAGATTTCCATTAATTATTTTGTGACTCCTTCCAGTGTTTCTTTAGTCTCATACAGGTGATATACACATATACATATTTTCTTTCTCCCATCTTTTCTTACAAAAAAGGGAATATGCCTTATACATTATTCTTCACCTTGCCTTTTTCACTCTACTGGATATCCTGGCAATCTTTCCATATGGTATACAGAGTTTCCTCATTTCTTTTCCAGCTGCATAATGTTCCAGTATGTGAATATTTTATGGCTTATTGTGGTGTTTTACAACATAGCTGCAAATCCTTTGACATTCCTTCCACTGAAAGGTGAAGTCTATATTCCTTCACCTTAAGTCAAGGTGGTTTATAACTGCTTTGACCAATAGAGCATGGAAGAAGTGACACCATATTTCACTTTTGAGACTAGGTCATAAAAGACCATCTTTATTCAAGCATGTCTGCTAGTTTCAATAATAACCTTTATTCTTAATAGGGGCTGGTAGCAAATACAAATACTACTTTTGTTGACAATAGCAAAGTATTCTATATAGAGAACCAGAACAGGGTCCCTGAATTCCATGAATTTGGAAAATGGTTTTTTTTAGAAAACTTTGTATTAATTGGTGGAATCCATACATCTCTGTAGAAATCAATGCTTATTTGGGAAACATCCTTTGGACTAAGATTAATAACAACTCAGGTGTCCATGCAAGTCT